ATATTTCCCTCCATCCATTGAAGGGGATGTAGCGGCACAGGGGTGCTGCTGGCCATGGGAGGTGTTCAGGATGGTGCTGTTGAGGGGAGGTGTTCAGGGATGGTGCTGCCCAGGGGCGATGCTCAGCTGAAGCCTGGCCTCACCCCGCACACGTCTGGGGCCGACATGTTCCCATACTCGGTGTCACCCCTGGGGCTGCCTCTCTCTTCCAGCTGGGCAGAATCCGTCCCCCTCCCACAGAGCTGCCTCAGGAGCACGGCAGCAAGTGATGACCATAATGAAACCGGGCCCTGAAGATGGTAAGTTGGGGACTGGGGGTGCCACAGGTCCCAGGACAGTGCTGCCACCCCTGCCTAGGGGCCAGATCCAGCTCTGGTTGAGGCCACTGGCCTCACAGCCCAGGGCCTCCATGCCGGCTTTCTTGGTCCCCTCTTGCACTACAGCCCCAAGGGGCAGCAATTGCATGTGTAAGGCTGGGAAGGTCCACACAGGGGGGCAGGAGAGGCTGTTTGAGCCTCTGAAGCTAACTCCCCAACAATTGCCTCATGGAGCAAACACTGGCCCCTGGTTCAGCTCCTGGCATGGGCGCATGGCCGAGCCTTGGGACAGGGATGCTGGCAAGGGGACACACTGTCCTTGCGCTGGACATAGGGGTCCTCAGCTCTGCAGCAGCCTCAGCTGTCGTCGTGCTCTCCCCCAGCCTCCCCAGTGCCCCAGCTGGACCTGGGCAAGAAGATGAGCACGCCGCAGGACCTGATGATTGAGGAGCTCTCCCTGCGGAACAACCGCGGCTCCCAGCTCTTCCAGCAGCGCCAGAGGCGGATGCAGCGCTTTGTCTTTGAGCATCCCAGTGGATTCCGGCAGGTGGGTCTGCGGGCACACAACAGCTATCGCAGCCTTGCAGAGAAGCTATTCCTGGCTGGGCTGGGGGTCTCAGCAGGGAGGCCATGCTCAGCTTCCTGCTGCACCTGGTGGGCTGGGCATGGAGATGGGCAAGCATCAAGTCCAGCATCCACCAAAGAGCGAGGGTGTTGGTCCCCCTCTGCACTCATTAACCCCTCTCCTCCTCTCCCGCAGCTCCCTGGGGCGGGTGGCTCACACCACACCAAGAGAGGTGGTCCAGAGGGAATGGCAAATGAGTGGACGGTGAGTGGGTGCAGGAAGCTCTGAGGCGCTTTTGCCTGCCTCCTGAGTCCCAACCAGGGCACGGGGAGGTCCCCGCACCCTGCTGACTGTCCCCTCTGCAGGCAGGGGAGGGTGCCGGGGGCCAGCAGAGCTACCACTCCGAGCTCCACGTGGCAGCATCGCCCCAGGGTGGGCCCCCTGAAGTGCCCAAGAAGACCGAGAAAGTCTTGCAGATGAGCAAAATCCTCAACCCTGATGCTCTGGCTCCTGGTAAATGCCGCCTGCACCCCAAAGCTGACACTGTGGTAATCTCAGTAATGCGGGGCTGGAGGCAGCGAGCTGCTGCCTGCTGAGGGGTCCTCCCCAAAACCCTCCCGGACGGTTTCGATATGTATAAATATAAAACATCTATTTATATTATAACATACATTTGTGTTATAGATATGCAGTCCTGCCCCAGCAGTAGCTCCTCGGTGGCCCTGTGAAGGCAGGGCTGTTCCCAGCCCCTCACCCCTGCTTGGCACATTGTCCCAGCCTGGCTGCGGTCAGTGCAGCCCACGCTGTCTCTCCCTAATGCAGGGTACTCGAGCCCCCTCAAAGAAATCCCCCCGGAGAAGTTCAACGTCACCGCCATCCCCAAGGGCTACCGCTCCCCATGGCAGGAGCACCTTGGTGACAAGGACAATGCTGTGCATGTCAAGAACAAGCTGCCCATGAGACCCTTTCCATGGGATTTCAGGAGCTTCAACAGGTAATGCTGGTCGAGGAGCAGGCACCACCAGCCTGTCCATCCCTTGGCCAAACCCTTCAGCCTCAAGAGGCACCTACCATCCTGTCAGGGAAACCCAATGGTCCGTGCCCTCTTCGTACACCACAGAGGTGCAGCAAGGGCTCAGGTTGCTCTTTTGCTGTTCAGGAGCTCCTCTGTGACTCCTCTGCAAAGGTCTCTGCCTCCAGCAGCTCCCCAGATCTCTTCTCAGCTTCACCACTGGCTTGCGCAGCCTTCAGCAGCCTGATCTCACTGGGTAACCTCAGGGATAAATTTTGGGAGGACTAATTCTCATGCACATGGTATTTGAGACGGAATTGCTGCTGTTCCCAGCTGGGCTCAGCTCTGGGCTGGGTGCAGGAATGGCACAGGCACTGCCAAGTCTCTTTCCTAATTTCCTGAAGGTGTCCAAGCAGCTGCTGGAAGCAGGGGGGCTATAAGGTTAATCTTCCCACAAGGTGCTAAGAGGTCACCAGATTCCTTCCAAACACCTGTTTGAGATTGAAGTTTCCAGGCCGGGGCGTTTCTGGTGGCTGAGCCTGGCAAACTTCATGCCCTGCAACTGCCTTCAACAGAGCGTGGCTGTCGTGCCTCCTTGCACCTCCAAATTACACCGAGGTGGAGGTTGGGACCCTGAAGCAGAGACCAAGGAACACCTCCTTTCTAGAAAGGTGCTTGGTGGTGATCCAGGACATGGAGATCTGGTGGTAGCAAAGTAGAAGCAGCCAAAGGTAGAATAATGAGAACTGAACTTTTAGGCTTAACATTGCCCCAGGTCATCTGCAAACCAAGGTCCTGGCCCTCCTCCTCTCTGAAAGTCTCTTTCACGAGGGTGAAAGTATGTTAGCCTTGGCCTGGCCAAAGTCACCTTCCAGTAGGCAAGCTCCCACTGGAGCTCCCTACCAGGACACAGCGCTGCTCCCCCAGACCATCTGCCATGGTGCTGTGCCTCTGCAGACAGCAGCTTTCCTGAGCCTGCACCAGGGTTGGATTCGGGTCGTCAGGGACACAACTGCTGTGCGTTGAACGCCTGGCAGAGGGGCTGTGGGGACCACACCACCTCTGCATGGGAACGACGTCCCAAAGGGCAGAGAGCAGCCCAACCGCCAGCTGGGCTAAGGTGGTGCTGCCACCGTCCCCTCGCTGCTTTCCTCTCCCTCAGCCCTGGGGCTCTGCTGGGGGCCTGGCGAGGAGCACAGCACAAGGCTGCAGCACACTCAGCCCCCGTGTTTCTCCTGCCACACCAGAGAAAGCGTTCCAGTGCACTGGTCTGCACCGGAGTGGGGCTGAGGGAGAAGGCAGGAGGGTTACCAGGACGGGCAAGTGTGGGGCAGCAAAGGGGCTGTGTTACTGCTCCCTCCGGGCCTCCTTCCCAGGTACTCGGCCATCTTGAGCTTTCCTGAAGCAGAAACACCCAAGGAGAGAACGAGGAACTGCGGTTGGCTTTTTCTTTCAACATTCAGCCATGTTCCCACCTCAGTATTTATTTATGGACAGGGACTGAAGCAAGGGCATGTTTCTGAATAATGCTTTGCCCAGTACCATTTCTCCCCTCTCACATGCTGCCTTTCTATTTAAAGTCTTGAACTGTTATTTAATACAGATGGATGCTAATTTAACACCCAGCCTCTCGCCACCTCCTCTAATTCTTCACTGAGGCATGAAGACTCAGAGAGCCAATCTGCTTTTAACTGGGCTTTTCCTGATCTTCCAAGCAGTTGGCTTTTAAATCACTTCTCAGTTCATCAAATACCAAACTGCAGAAAAACAAGCTTTTTGGAGCAAATCAGCTAGCGAGAAGCCAGTGGTCTTGCCTAAAGCCAGGTGAATCCCAGCACAGCTCACACGGGTCACAGGGCAAAGGCAAGTTCATCCTCTCAACCAACTGCATTAAAGCAGGCTGGTTTATTCCTAACTTCAAATGTTCAGGCTGTGATGCAAAGACCTTCAGCCACCTTGCTAAGGTGTGCTGCCCTGAGAGAAAGTGAAAACCAAGCTTTGAAAAGGACTGTGTTTTCCCAGAGGAGAGAAAGTTTCTGGAACAAACCTTTCACATCTACCTTTCCCCCCCTTATTTCTCCCCTGTTGCAAAACAGTGCCACGTTACTCATGTTTGAGCAGCACTTCCCAAAGCAAATATCCCCAGCTATGGCTCATTGATAGCTCAGACTCCATGTGCTGCTCCAAAACCAACATTCTTGGCTTTTTGGGGGTTGGCACTCTCTTCCCTGGTCCCTTTCCACATTCCTCCAGAAAGGGATGACAGCTCTTGCCCCCGCACTGCTCCTCCTGTTAGTCATAGCTCAAGTGAAGCTGTCCCAAAAGGCAGACTGGAGACAGGGCCAAGGGAAAGACATTTGCCTGCACACATGCTGGAGCAATCAGGAGGCAGCACCACCAGCCTCGGCCCTCTGCACAACACATCAGCTGCAGACAAGTCACTTTCTGAAGACCTATTCTCCTTTTCTAACCCCTTTCACACGCAAAACATCTCTACAGCTGTTGGGTAGCACATCAAGAGAGACCACAGTAAAGGTAGGAACATGCTTCCTCCCTTCCCTACGAAGCTGCTGATGCTCAGGCACCAAACCTCCAGGCCTGCCGAAGTCTGGGTTGAGGTTGGCTCTGTACAAGAGCAGCGCCTGGCCGGGCTAGCAGGGACCCTAACGGCATGCCAGGGGGGAAGAGGAGGGTTCTCATTTCCTACAGGCATTGCTAGGTTGCTGCTGCACAGATCGCCTTTACCGCATGCACAGCTTCTCCTCGTGACGCGCTAAGTCTGCTTTGTCTTGTGCCGCAGGACTCCCACCCCATTTGACAGAGCACTGGTCAGCGACCTGTACCCTGCGCCTGCCCTGGAGCTGGACCACCTGAGTGTTCTGGAGGTGATTTCCCACAGACGTGACTTCAACAGAGTGCCACAGGGGTGGGCACGGGTCCTACCAGAGAGCGATGAGCTGTAGCACGCGCACTCCCTCCCTCATCAGCACGGATGCTTTTCTCGCTAGACTCAAACGTACTTCGCATGGTAGGGGAGAGGGGAGTAAGTATCCTTGGTGAAAGCTAAGCTGGTGGTCTCGGGTTGACATCTTCTTCAGCGGGATTTGAACAAGCTCAAGTCTGGGACCATTTTGCATTCCCCTCATAGCAGCCATTGTTACCAGGGCGTTTCGTGCTAAGCTTACCAGCCAAGTTCTCATCGTTAATGCAAGCAGATCCCCGTAAGCTCCCACAGCCGTCACCGAACAAAACACCTCGTACAGCCTGTCCTCTCCCCTGCCTCATGGAAAACGGCAGAACCGCCAGCTGCAGCACACCGAGCTGTCTCGCCGCTTCCTCACCGACACGCAAGACCTGCTCCGACAGCTGGTGCCTTTGCAGAGAAATTCCATCTTCAGGGCAACCCTGCATCTGTCATTCCGGTCGGGACAGCGGGAGGAGAACAGTTGAAGAACACCAGCAAGACAAGTGACCGGAGACGTTGGCATGTTAGAAGCAGTTACCTTGGGCTGGGCTGGACAAAACAAACGTGGGACTGGGCACGTGCCTGTTTACAAACACTGCACAGCACAGCGGGGACAGATGGGAGGGCAACACTGGGAGCTGGAAACTTGCACCTCATTTTCCACAAGCTACCGCCTCGCACTCGGCAGCTGATATCTTCCCCTTCCTAGTGCTATTTGCATGCCTTGCTGAAACACCTAAGCCCTTTGACTGACTGACGCCAGATTTGCTTCACACAGTTGGTCAATCAGGATCAGGCCCTGTGTGGACTCGCTGCACTAAAGATACTGCTGGGGTAACTCTGGCAGCTTCAACACCAATGGGAAGGAAAAGCAGGGCAGCCCTGACTCCAGAGCAAGCACGGGCTGCTCCATGAACACAAAAACCAGCAGCAAGGATTCAACTACACACTTTCACCAGTGGCACACGCAGCCAACACCACTCATCAGAACATCTGGAAACCCTGCTAACCTCTAACAACGATCTCTAACTTAATACAGGCTTTCTACAGTTGCTTTTATCGGGTTCTTAATGTTACCCTTATTTAATCTTGCAAAAGCGGGACCGTCAGGATAAAAGTTTCTTTTTCCACCACTGTGAAAAAATGGAATAAGTAAATTTTGTGGTAAAAATGCAGCTAACAGCTGCCTCACTTGTGAAGTGTATTTGTAATGCTACGCAAATCCCACACAGGGATTCTGCTGCCACAACACAGCATTCATGCTCTGTTCTTCCAACAGAAGCAGAAAGGGACAAGTAAATAGAAATAAAAATGTATGTTCCTTAAGCATTAAAAATTTATGATGCTCAACTGCTGTCCTGTTCCAAATCCATCTCTCTCCTCCTCTGTCCATCAGCCGAAGAACCCGTGTACCCCTGGCGACCTGGCTGGAAATAATAAATAAATAAATTGCAGTAATATAAAGCTTGCTTGCATTCGAGATCTGTCTGCACTGCACTTGCAGGCTGCAACTACCACTACTCAGGGCCAGAGTAGTGGCAAATGCTGCAGCCCTCTCCAATCCACAAGCAGGCCCCTACCCGTCCTCCAAAACTGGATCTTACCTGACAAAAGCTGAACTAATGACCCGTGCCCAAAGCCCTTCCAGAGAAAGGCAGCCATGCCCCTGGAGCCATGTGTGCTACACCACCTCCACCAGCCTGGCAGGGCTGGCACCAGCACACATGCCTTCAGTGGCAGCATCGGTGGGACCCCGTGGCACGGTACAGGATAGCACATAGAACTACAAGTGGACCTGCCATCATTACTCACTCTGCATCTTGGCTTTGGCAGCAGCCAAATAAAAATCAAAGTCTTCAGACACTGTGCTACAGGAATCAGGGTCTAAGCAAAGTACTGAAAAATTCAAATATTTTAATGTATTCTTTTTTAAAACAAGCAAACGAGGCTTCAGAACAGGTCCCATCATGTTTTGCTTTACAGAAAGATGTCCACAAATCCATTACATGAAAGCAGCTGACATACAGATAAACCTAAACCCCTCTACCCACGTGTACATACATCTCAATAGCAGGCTCCATGCAGACCATGGTTGCTCCTGGACAAACACTGTAGTTGGAGCACAGAAAAGGTTCGTGTCTTACCAAAGCAGGACGAAGCGGGATCCATCTCACAGTTTACAAGGAGACTGTACCCACAGGCCTCAAAAGCCCTGACCATGCTTCAAATATACCCAGCCAAGCTCGCAGCTGCACCGTGTGTCCCCCCTGCAGCTGCCAGCAACACAAGCCCATCCAAGGGGGCCACCGCAGGGGCCTTCACCAGGCTAAACAGGCAACTGCTAACCTGTCACTCCACGTCACACCCGCACTACCTGGCAGCTGCTCGCATGGTCTAACACTTATCTGGCTCAGGATGCGCAGGATCAGAAGTGAAGCATTAAAAAAAGTTTTGGGTTTTTGGTTTGGGGTTTGTGGTTTGTTGTTTTTTTTTAAGCAAGATGTCAGGAAAAAGGAAGGAGAAAAATTCTGTGCCAATAGTAAGGCAAAGCCATGGATTTGGCACATCTGAGAAACTTGTTTTTCAGCTTTTATTGAGTCCTGGTTTAATATCTCACTAGAATAATAAGCCATCAGTTACCTGACGGAGAAGAGTCTCTGCTTATGTTTAATTAGTCCCTAGTGCTCAGACTGAGGATATCAAATGGGCTTGAAAAGGGTTTGGTTTGGTTTTTCCAGTAGTTTATTTCAAAAGTGTGCAAACGGGATACACGGATAGCACTGTAACTCTGGTACACCTGATCCACAGACCCCTGACAGCCCTTTTGCCTGTTCCCCACCCCTCCACCCCCCAACACTAAATGAAAGACCTGGGATGTATCAGCGATCCATTAGCTAGCGGAGACACGGAGCTCGGCTTGCCCGGTGTCTGCAAGCAGGGAAATAAGGCTTCTCTAGCTCACCCACAGCTCAACATACGGCGCTACCATGGTAACTAGAAAATAGCATTTACTTAAACGACGAGGGCGGCACGACGTGCTAGGGGCTGCTGTGCTTCCCTGCGTGGGCACCCATCCTCTGGGGATCTTGAGACGGGTAGTGAATGGGGCCTGGGGCTCGCATGAAGGGAGGCGGGGGCCCCATGGTGTGGAACACGTGTGGTCCGAAACCTGCAGAAACAAATTCATGAGGTTCAGACAAAGTAACAGAACAACTCATGCAGATGTACTGCTGCTTGAAACTACCAGCAGAAAACAGCTTACAGCTATGCCTTAAAAAGGTGCACATCTCCAACCAGCCCTCAAATCCCCAGACTATTTCCCCTCTTTCTAGTACAACTGGGGGCAATCCTTACGCAACACACATCCTTACTCACAGATAAAAGCTGGTGAGGGGACTGGACGCGTGTCTGTAATGCTAATCTAAATGCTTTCTACTCAACTGTGGAGCAAAGAAAACATACCCACAAGAGTCTGACATCTCATAAAAAGCAGGATTGATATAAACACACCATCAAACACAGGCTGGCATTCAATCAGCTGCAGAATTACCCTTTGAAGTTCAGGTTAGTGTGGAATTTACGCAGCCAGCAAAAGCACCGAGTAGGTCTCAGTACCAGTAACAGGGATCTCTGACATGCCTCAGAATTCGCAAGTGAACACATACCACAGCAGGCAGCTCAGTTTAATTAAACTGTGCTGACAGCTCATTTTAGATGATCGGTTTACACTGCGTGATCAGGGATGAGGAAAGTCAACTCTGGGCACGCAGCAGCACTGCAGCGCAGCCAAGCAAGGACGGCTAGATGGTCAAACACCAAATCAGATACCCCCACTCAAAGGGGAAACACAGGTACCTGGAGGTGGTGGCGGAGCAATACCAGGAGGAGGTGGCAAGGCAATGTTCACCACGGCTGGAGGGCCACTTGGAGGTAGGTTGAAGTAATTTGCAGAAGCCTCCTCTTCTGCAGCTGGAGGAGGAGGGAGAGCTGCAGAAAAAAACCCAACACACTGTGGTTATGGAAAATCTCTCAGTCAAGATATGCAGAGGTATCTTCCTTCAGAGAGGAGGCACAATCAGTTCTTCCCCAGGGGCAAAACTGCTGCTACTATTGCATATCTGAATGGGAGCGAGAAGCAGAACTGCACTGAAACTCCAGAACAGTCACCACTTCACCTGAAACCAGCTTTGCTTTTTCCATTATACAACACTCAGTGGATTAGGAAAACATTAACCCACGCTTTGAAAAGCATGGCTGCCAGTATCTCCAACCTAACTTAAATTCAGCTTTAACTTTTCACCCATCACATAAAGAATTCTTTTCAACAAGAATCTCCTCCTCAAAGCTCACTTCCCATCCCAGCTGAATGTGCTGCAAACCCCTTGTAACCACTTGCTCTGGGCTCACCAGTGCCTCTACCATCCCAACCCGTTACTGCTCTGAGAGGTTTAACACCAGCATCGTTCATGGAAGCAGGTCAGCATTGCTTTGGAGCTGAAAACAACTTCCTTACCTCCGGGGAGCCCTGGAACTGGCTCCAGCTTTATCCCAGATTCTGTAGTACCTTCCTTGTCCTTTTCTTTTCCTCTTGCCGCCTGGGACCTAAAAAACAGACAAAAGTTGGAGAACAAGGATAAGAAAAAGCAGGATAAGCAGATATTCGCACCACAATAGTTTTACATTATTTAATCCAGGTCCATTGCTTCAGGCCACCAAAGTTGAAAAATTCACAGAACATCAGAGACAGCTGGTACCAAGTGTGCAAACAGTGCTTACAAGAGATGGATTAGAAGCAAAACTACAGAAACTCATCCATAACCCTCAACCAGGAAATCCCTTACACAATTTGTGTAATTTGTGTAATCTCCAACCCAGATTTCACTGCTGAAAGAAAATCTTGGACTCCAACTATTTACCAAATCAGTATCTACTTGAGCGTAATATCCAGTCCCGCTCATCAAGACCGCATAAACCGAGCGAAGAACCCTTTGGCAGCAT